AAAATGGTAGACTCATAGGTTTTGAGGTTACCTCTAAGCCCGTCAATGGTGACGTTGGTGACACCAATGGACTCTTGGATGGCATCGGCTTTGGACCGCCACTCCGGTGTGAGACTTCGCAGGATTTTTCTCACAAGCTCCTTGTCCGTGTACGTCTTCTTGAGAGCATGGAGATCGTTGACGATTTTGGAGAATCCTTCAAACATCTCATCGATTTTCTCATTCTCCTTCATACGAAACAATTCATATTCATGGGTTAGAAAATCAATTTTAGCTTCTCGGACTTGATCCGTACCTTCGTAGGTGATTTCTAGTTTATCCCACATTTCCTTTGCGGTGGTGCAACAAGATATCTTCCGGTAGTCATCCGGGTTTACGGCACAATAGATGATATTGATGGCCTTGGCATCATACTCGTTCTCGGTCTTAGGAACGTTGGTTTACCCGACCTTCTTCATTGGCACGTCTTCACCATTCTTGATAATTCTCCAAAGGAGAAAATTGGTGGATTGGATGTAAATCCTCATCCGCTCCTTCCAATAGGTGTAGTTCGTTCCGTCAAACAACGAAGGCCTTGTGGTGGATTGCCCTTCACCTAAACCTGCGTATGAACTTTGAGTAGAAGCCATTGATCGTTTCTCTCAGTGGGTCACCCATCCTGGGACTACTCCCGTTCCAGCACGCTTAACTACAGAGTTCTGAAGTTAAAGAGGTGCCAAATGCTTCCTAAAACTAATTGGTGATAGGGAGGTGGACACTTTGTATTTAACCACATCTCTCTGTAGCCCCAAGCCGAGGTAGATTCCTATAGGGCACCCCCTATAGTTCACTACGGCAGTGCGGAGCCCCACTACTGAGCGGTGGATGGACAGGAGGGGCTTCGCAAGATACACGACTCGTATACCTCGTCAGGTTGGGCTGTAAGTACCCGATACCGTGACTAGCACAGTAGCGAATCCCTAAGGGTGATCGATGGTCCCCCATAAGACCAACAATCTCCCCCCCAGCGACACCCGGGGGATTCGAGCCTGCTTTCTCGCTCCGATACCAATTGTTAGAATAAAGGCCCAACGCTAGAGGGGGGGTGAATAGCGTTTAAAACAAAATCGCAGGAAATTAAAACAAGAGCGTTAAAGTAAAGAGCGTAAAGAAGGAGCACACCGGATTTTATCCTGGTTCACCACAACGTGTGGCTAATCCAGCCCCCCGAGAGACTCTCTCGAGCTACACTAACTCCGTTAAGCTTAAGGGTGCTTAACAAACCGATACAACTTGAGAACCCGAGTCACACGAGCCTCAACACCTTT